CCATTGTTGTAGGTTTTCTTGCCACTGCTGTAATCTTTCTTGTTTCTTTTCTTTTTCCCCTAACAACTGTTGTAATCTCTCTTCGTGTTTATTTTGGTGTTCGAGCTGCCACTGTTCCAGGTTTTCTTGCAACTACTGTTGTCTCTCTTCTTGTTTCTTTTCTTTTTACTCCAACAACTGCTGTAATTTCTCTTCTCGTTCTTCTTGTTTCTTTTGCTGTTCTTGTATTGCTGCCATCAAATCTGCTAAGCTGTGGTTTGATTTTCCGCCTCTCGTTTCCATCTTCTTCTTCTTTTTTTTATCCCACTCCTGACACCAATTTGTTACGTCTCCGTTTGTTAACTAATTTTCCATAAATTCGTTCCGACGAAACTTTAGCGACACAAGTCCTTTCTTAAATAAAACTGGTTTATTCTTTCCGAATACAAGTTTACTATACACTTAATTTCAACAGTCGCTCTATAACAACGCTATAACTCACGTCTCACGTGGCCAACAATATTTTGTCCACATACATTCAATTACTCATTACCTCCCCGTCGCTTCGTGGCCGGTGTTATATATACAAGACTACACTATATCTAGTAATCTCCCGACAATTCACGAAGGTTCGAGAAAGACGTGGCGTGATACTAATTACGTGACCTCGCTGACGCAACAATATCAATGCCAAAAACTCTAGAGAGTAACATATTGGAATTTTTAATAGCAACAGAATCGAATAGTTTTAAACTATTTGTCCCAGTATATATACCAAGACAAATGCACACAACCTGCATAACTATTTTAAAAATATTGTTACGACAGCAGAGGTCACGTGACACTAGTAACACGTCACGCGCTTCTACAACGTTCATGAAGCCTCGGGAGTTACTAAATTTGGTTCTTTCTAGAAATAGTTAAACAACCGAATACTCTATCTAGTTATACTGGTTGAAAGTCGTGTGTTGTGAGAAATTTAATAATATTTTCAAGATGAAAACAGTTTTAAGATTTTACGTTAAAGCTGTACAAGCTTATAATATTGTAAGAATGACTATTTTCGTCATTATTTTAAAGAAAGCCACTCACAAGAAAACTTTATTCCTCTTCCTTTTCTTGCAAGTTTTGAATTCTAAATATTACACTAATTTTTATAGACACAAAGGAGTATTTTTGCATTGTAATTACTTATATGAATCATGCTTGTGTTACGTCTCCTTTTGTTAATTAACTTTCCGTAACTTCGTTCCAACGAAACTTGCGACACGAGTTCTTTACTTAATAAAACTGGATTATTCTTTCCGAATACAACTTTACCGATACACTCAACTTCAACAATCGCGCTAAACAAACGCTATAACAACGAACGTCAATAATACTTCTGACCGCAGATCAATTACTCACTATCTACACAGACATTACCTTGTCACGTTGTCCCCCTCTTTTATATACCCGACTACCCTATATCTAGTAAGAACTAGAACATTCGCCAAAGTACAGGATAGTTCTAGAAACGTGGCGTCACTGTAGTCATGTGATCTCGATGACGCAACACTTGTAATAAACGCAATAAATAATGTAGGTCCAAACTGATGCTACATATACTTATAGAATTTTGAGATTACGAACTAAAATATCATTAACGGCGATGGTACATTCTAATATTTAATGGTTTTAGTTTTCTTGTGTACTGATTTCTGACAGTACGTATTTCTAGTTTGTTCTGTAGGATTGGCTTCATTAATGTGTAAGTTAACCAACAGAAAAAAAAAAGCCCTCTAAAAACAGGAGGTTTTCGAATCTCGGTCTTGAGTGTACATTTCCCGACAGATAGGCTGCAAAGAACGAGACCAGACGTAAAGTTTACCCAAATAAAACTATTTAATAACACTATCACAATTGAAAACTCAAATAAAGAGTATACTAAACAATAACACGATTAACGTTTGGGCAAGTTATTCTGTGTCTGTGCGATTGCATGACTGACAACGGTAAATTTACAGATTGACAACGCTGTGCACAGCAGATAGTCCGGTGTAGCTTTGCTGTAAAACACAGTGACAAGAGCTGAAGAAAGAGTTACTGCCAATGCGTTTAGGTCCCTTCAGTAATACAAACTAAAAAAAAAAAAAGGATTAAAACCAAACATTGAATGAAGATGTACTTCAAGTTAAGACAAAAGCTACTTTAAACTATAACAAAAATTATCCATGTGAAATCCAAAATCTCAGTTGCCTTATTCCAAGTATAATCAGGCCCATACACAAAATATTTGAAATCGGGGTTCTAATTTGTGAG